TCCCACCCCCCAATTAAAAAAAAACAAAAATCAGGTGCTGGAGAGCTGGTTCCAAACTTAAGAACTTCCAGAGGATCCAAGTTCAATTCAAGTCACCAACATGGCAGCTCACAACCGTCTGTAACTTCCAGGAGCCCCGGTACCCTCTTCTGGTTTCAACATGTGTCAAGCACACATGGAGCACCAACACATGAGCCCAGCAAATATAGAAGATGGCAACCTGGTGGCTGACTAGCTTGGGAGCTGCTGCTCAGATTCCTGTCATCCATGCTTGCAGGAGTCTGAGATGGTTTTATGGAACCCTCTGTCAACCCTGCTGCCTGCTGGGGTGGGAAGACTCTTCAGAAGGGTGTCAGCACATCTTGGGAGCTAGGGTAAGGGTGAAGCCAGTGGCCTGGGTTCTCCTGCTCTTTGAACCCACAGGCCAAACATTGAAATATTCTATCAATTTCCAGTTGACTTTTTTTGTGTGTGTGCATTTTGACACACGGTCTCATTTAGTCTACACTGGCTACATAGTAAGAGCCTATTTCCAAAAACAAGAAACCAAAACAAAGCCAGGCATCATGGTACAAGTCCTTAATAACAGCATTCCAGAGGCAGAAGCAGAGGCAGAGGCAGAGGCAGATGGATCTTTGAGTGAGGCTAGCCTGGTCTACAGAGTGAGTTCCTGGACAGCCAGAGATACATAGTGAGAGAACTGCTTCAAAATTAAATTACCTTCTAAGTGCTGGAATCAAATGCATGTACCACCAAAATAAATTTTACTTTGTCTCAAAATAAAATAAAGTTGAAAACCCCAAACCACAACAATAACAACAACAACAATAAAACATCTCGCAAAACTCTCTTAGTCCAACAAGGAGTCAATGGGAAAATTATTAAGACATCTTGCTCTTTTTTTTTTTTCTGGGTGCCTTCAAAAATCCAGTATCTTCTGTTTTATTTGTTTGTTTGTTTGTTTGCTTTACAGTTATAGCACAACTCATGAGACCAAACAGCTACAGGTACTTACTGGTTATTGACTAAGACAGTACAGCCTAGATCAATTCCCCAGCCTAGTCTGCCTGTAAGCTGGCTTGAGGCTTGACCACATCACCTGATGGCTCTGAGACCCTCAAACTTCTCTGGTGTAGTACCATGAAGAGATGGGACTAGGAAGGGCATGGAGTGGTGGGGGGTGGGAGGTGGGGACACGTGGCAGGGGTGGGGGAGCCCTTGGCCTTCCTTGTGTGCCAGAGTGTGATCCAATTCCTCTGGTCCTCAAGAACCTAGATCTTGTCACAGTTCTTCCCTGGTTTGTTTGGGTGACCCTGATATCATCTTGGTGCCACAGAGTTCAGAGCTGTCTGTGGGAGTGCTCCTCTTGGTGTCTGAAGAGAGTGACAGTGTACTCATATACATAAAAATAAATACATCTTTAAAAAAAGTAAAAAAAAAAAATGTTGGTCCTCCTTGCTTGCAAAACTACCGCTGAAGCCACAGTCTCAGCCCAACACCCAATACAAGCTTGCTTCGTGCGTGTGTGTATTTTGTATTTGAGACAGGGTTTCTCTGTGTAGCTCTGGCTGTTCCTTTAACCCTAGACTTTTGTAGATGATCCCTTCTATGGCCAGACCTCCTAGTATACACACTTTACAGAAACTTGAAGTCAATCACATAATTTAAAATATTAAATCTTGCTGTGTGTATGTGTGACGGCAGGCTCCTTTAATCCCAGCACTTGGGGGGGAGGGGAAGAGGCAGGTGGATCTCTGAATTTAAACCCAGCCTGGTTTACAGAGTGAATTCCAGTACATCCAGGGATACATGGAGAAACCCCGTCTCGAAAAAACAAAATAAAAATAAATAAATAAAAAAAATAAAATCTTGTGTATAATAATTAGTGTCTGGCCATCATTCTTGTGGCTTATCTTATTTTTGGCAGTGCCGGAGATTGAATCTGGAGCCTTGCACACGCTAGAGTCAAGCCCTCTTGCTACTTGTTTGTTCCGTAGTGGAGGAGGAGCTTAGCCTGTAGACTCCTGTCAATCATCCCAGTGGTGAAGCGGAGGAGGCGCAAGTTTACCTGGAACTCCTGACTGCGGTCAAGCGTGTCCATCCTGCATCACAAGGCCTGCACGTGTCCAAGGATAGCCATGAATGCAATGTAACACATTTGTAGATGAAGTCACGGGACAATGTCAAAACACCTGACTCCCTTGGTACATAGTGTGGGCTAAGGCCAGGGTGGGCTTCAAAAGAGACCCTGATTCGCCCAAAAAACCAAACAAACAAACAAGAAAAAAAGACCCTGATTCATACACACAAACAAAAAACACCTGTGTTTGAGAGGCTTTAAGGCCCAGAGCTTTAATCCCAGCACTTGGGAGGAAGAAACAATCAGATCTCTGGGTTTGAGACTAGCCTGGTCTATACAGTGAGTTCTAGGACAGCCAGAGATACACAGAGAAACCCTGTCTCAAATACAAAATACACACACCCACGAAGCAAGCTTGTATTGGGTGTTGGGGCTGAGACCGTGACTTCAGTGGTAGTCTTGCAAGCAAGGAAGACCAACATTTTTTTTTTTCTTTTTTTAAAGTGGTGGCGCATGCCTTTAATCCCAGCACTTGGGAGGCAGAGGCAGGCAGATTTCTGAGTTTGAGGCTAGCCTGGTCTACATAGTGAGTTCCAGGACAGCCAGGGCTATTCTCAAAAAGAAAAAAAAAAAAAAAAAAAAAGGATTTGTTTATTTTATGTATGTGAGTACACTGTCACTCTTTTCAGACACCCTAGAAGAGGGCATCAGATCCCATTACAGATGGTTGTGAGCCATCAGGTGGTTGTTGGGAATTGAACTCAGGAACTCTGGACTTCTTAACTGCTGAGCCATCTCTCCAGCCCGAGGACCAACATTTGATCACTACACAGCAAAATCAAAGCAATATCAAAAGGTTGCTTCAAAAACCTGATGTTTGCTGGCACACACCTTTAATCCCAGCACTTGGGAGGCAGAGACAGGTGGATTTCTGAGTTCGAGGCCAGCCTGGTCTACAGAGAAACCCTGTCTTGAAAAACCAACCAACCAACCAAACAAAAAACAAAACAAAACAAAAAACCCTGATGTTCTTGTTTAATCCCTAGAAGCCATATGAAGATAGGAAAACAAACTTGTCCTCTGTCCCCATACATACACCTACACAAATAGTAACTTTATTTTTTATTTTTATTTACTTTTTTTTTTTGAGACAGGGTCTCTCTATATAGCTCTGGCTGACCTGGAACTCACTCTGTAGAACAAGCAGGCCTCAAAAAAAAAAAAAAAAAGAAAAGAAAAGAAAAAGAAAAGAAAAGAAAAGCCGGGTGGTGGTGGCGCACACCTTTAATCCCAGCACTTGGGAGGCAGAGGCAGGCGGATTTCTGAGTTTGAGGCCAGCCTGATCTACAGAGTGAGTTCCAGGACAGCCAGAGCTATACAGAGAAACCCTGTCTCGAAAAACAAAACAAAACAAAACAAAACAAAACAAAACAAAACAAAAGAACAGGCAGGCCTCGAACTCACAGAGATCCACTTGCTTTCAGCAGTGCTGGGATTAAAGGTAGCCATTACTTGCTTGGTTTATAAACAAAAAAAAATTTGGAACAGAGACTATGACAAGTCATTTAAATACATTAGATTTTTTGTTGTTTTTAGACAGGCTCTAAGAAGTTCATTCTAGCCTAGAACTCACTGAACGTATGAAAATAACCTTCGACTCCTGTTCCCTTGGGCCAAGGAAGAGCTGAGATTATGGGGCAAGGAGGAGACACAGACAAAAGGGCGCCAAATCAGCCCCATTACTACTATCCTGGGCGTGTCTAACCCAGAAAGAGAAAAAAAAAAATCTAGAGAGAAATGAAGTCTTGCTAGAATCTTCCGAAGGCCACAACACAAACAGGTTTAACAACTGTAGCCCGCACTGCACCTCCCTTCCCGCTCCCCCTGCATAACCTTAGGGAAACTAAGAAATTAAAGTGCTGTGTCTGAAAAGCGGGTTAATATTTTGACTTTCCTTGGAAGCAGAAATAACTGAATCTTCACAATACATCAGACTAGCCTGAGCGGAGGCAGGCTGAAAATAAGTCTGGGAGCTGGAGGCAAACTTTGTGGCTGGTCAAAAGAGGGTATTCAGCTATTCTGGGGTGCGTGTGTGTGTGTGTGTGTGTAGAGGCCCAGAAGACCCAAAGGCCTAGCAGGCAGAGCAAAGCCCTTACAAAGGCTGCAGGTGCCCCTCCTAGCATCTGCATGGCGGAGCTGCGTGCGCAGAGCTTAAAGGCATCCTCTCCAGAACCTTCCTCTCCACCCCTGTGAACGCGATCCCCGATCCCGGTGACCGTTTGTGTGCTTGTGTGTGTGTGTGTGTGTTTTTTCGTACCGCCTCACCATGTCGCATTTGCCGCGCGCGCGGTTTGGGCGAGAGGCGGGAAAACAAGAGTTGAGCAAACTTTGCAGGCTCTACCCTGCATCCTGTGGGGGAGACGGGCACCGCGGGGTACCAGTCCGATCGTCCGCAGGTCGGTGACCTTGAGAGCGACTCTCAGGCTCCTTAGTCTGCGATTGCTCACTGGACATGGATGCCAGCGTGCACGTTTCACTCCGACCCCAGCCTACCGCTGCAGCCGCCCTCGCTCGGGAGTCATGGCGGCGGAGTCCAGGCAGCTTTATCCAGCTGCAGCCGAGGCGGAAGTGGAGGATGGGGGAGGGGGGGAGTAGATCTGCGCGGCTCGAGAGAATGGCCGAGCGGAGCGCGACACCTCCGGGACCAGCGGGCGCGCGGCGACGAGCTCGCGCCACCGCGCGCGCCCCACCCACCTGACGGAACGGCCGGCGCGCGCTCCCAGTAACCGCGGTTTCTCGCAGCGTTTGTAGCCCTTACGTCACGGCCTGCGCCGCCTCTGATTGGGGGAGCCGGGCAGGTCACGTGGCCGAGCAGGGCGCTATAAATAGGGCGAGGGGGACGGCGGTGGTCCGCCATTTCGTGGACGCCGCGGGACGGAGAGCATCTGTAGGAGCAGAGCCAGAGGGGAGCGGGTGGGCTTGTCGGAGCGTCAGGATTTGAGCTTGGGCCTTTCGAACCCAGGATCTCGGTAAGAGACCGGCGAACGGAGGGAGGGAGGTGGAGTTTGGCACAGTCGAGGTGGGGCCGGGCGCAATGGCGGCGCCAGGTTGAGACAAAGGGGTGCCGCCGCCATTTTGTGACGTTCGGTCCCGGGCGGCGGCTGGGGCCCCGGGCAATGCCGAAGATGCTTCCAGGCCTGTAAATCGGGGACTTATCTATTATCCTTCCGTGGAAGCTTAAGCGAGGAATTGCTCCGGGCTGGGGTGCGGCGGTGGGGGGGAGATTGAGCTCTAAACGTCGCGGCCTTTAATGTGATGGCGCCTTTTTTTTTTCCTCCTTGGTCCTGGTTTTCATGGGATAGAGTCTTTAAGAATTTTGTTTTCAGGAACAGATCTTTCAATACTTACTGAGCCCCTTACGGTCTCGCCTATTTTTTTTCTTTAATGTGCCGACTTTGTGTTTGTTTTGAAACGGTTGTGATCAGGCTTTGTGTCTCGGTGTAAATTCTGGTCCAAGTTGAGTTGGGATTTTCTTTAACCTCTGTGCTCTTAACAGGTGTGAGAAGCGGGGATGGATGAGTTAAGAGCTTCTTTCGTTTTTATTTTTATTTTCGGGGAATGGCTTGGTCGCTCAACGGAGTCTTGAGCACAGGGTGGGGTCACGGCAAAATAAGGTGTGCCTGGACTAAAATTTTTAGTTTTTGAGAGTAGTCGGCTTTAGAACAGTATAGGGTATAGTTGAAAGACACTTGAAATAGCCTATTAAATAGGGTTTTCTCTTCGGAAGTGTGAGGTTGAATCCTTAACTGAGTGCACGTCCCCAAGATTGTATGGTTTTGTCTAAGTGTCCTTTTAATAAAATTCTTTTACGCAGGATTTTAGGGTGTGTCGACGGGTATTGAATTCCTAGCAGCCCTCAAGATTTATGCATGTTTTATTAAAAGATAGGATCACTTTACCAGCCTGACTTCATAACTGTCGTTCCTCTGGTCTAGTGAGCAGCAGGCATGCATGTGTTCTAGCTGTGGCAGTTTTTAATACATCCACGATGTTGTGTGGTTCCAAGATACTTATTTTTGTTCATTTGATTGTTTCTGAGACAGTTCTCGTTGTAGCCCAGGCTGACCTGGAACTCACTTTTTTTTTAAAGATCAGGCTGGTCTCCATATCAGATCACTTGCCTCTTCCTCCTGAGTGCTGGGATTAAGTGCGCCGCCGCCACCCTGATGTACTACTTATTTTTTGAGACAGTGTCTCATGCAGCCCAGGCTCTGTATGCTTCAGCCCGGGATGCCCCTTTCTTTAGCCCTGGACTTCTCAGAACTCCCTGATAATTGGCCTGGCCTGCAACCTGCCTCTCCTTGGGATTACCATGACAGATTTTCTTAATGCTGGGCCTGCATGTGGTCCTTTACTATGCTTTTAAAAGCTAAAGGTCCTGCCCTTTAAGTATCTGGATTTTCCATTTTGAGCATTTCCTTTGTAGGAAAATGTAATGGTCTTTTCTGGTTTTAGAATATCTTCAAGGTTTTTATACTTAGCAGTGTATTCCTGACTATTGTGGCACATTTTGGATCTCCATCTCCTGGTAATCAGTTAGATTGGCACAGCTCTCACTATTGGGAGTAGTGGTGTGAGATGTGTAGGCTTTGACTTTTTTTTCTTGTGTCTGTAGTGCTGGGGATTAAATTTTAGTTGCATGCTAGGCAAGCTACCTACCCCTGAACCACATCTAGACTTTTGAACATATGTTTGAAAATGGAGCTAGGTGTGATGACGCATAATTGTAATCCTAGGCCTTGAAAGACTGGGTACCTCTATCTTGAGTTCAAGGCTAGCCTGGTCTGTCTACAGTGAAACACATGTTAAAACTCACCATGTGATTTGGCTGCTTGGTGAATTTTGACTGCCTATAAGGAAGTCAGTCTAGCAAAAGGTGCTATTGGTATTCTGGAGTAAAGGAAGATTTTGTGACAGTGTATCTTGGAAGCATTTGTAACAGGGCTTAACTGTAGCTCTGCCTGGCCTCAAAACTTGTGATCTTAATTACTCTTCTGGAGACTAGAATTACAGGTCCTGCTCAAGGAAGGAAGCCTTTTTAAAACACTATTTTGTGTTTGTGGGGTGGTATATGCACCAGTGAACGTCAGAAGATAATTGTAGTTTTTCCACAATGTGTCCTGTAGCTCAGCTCAGGTGGACATGGTTAGTTCCCTGTGCCTTTATCCTCCTAAACCCCTCCTAAGGAAGCTTTAAATAAAAGGTTTTGCATCTTAGCTGAGGCTAGTTTTTTACACATGGAGGGATTTATGTATATTGCTTACTTGGTCCAAATGTGGTAGTTTTTATTCAAACTTAATAGTGACTGGGTGAATGAAGGAAGGTATATCCCTCTCTACTTCCTGTTGTAATTTCTTGGCGCCAACTATTGTGTGACAATGGGAAGGAACAGTGTAAAATGGCTAAAACAGCTGCCTTGCCTTAGAGGGGAAAGATAGTTTTGATTTGTCCATGGCAGAAGCTGGTCTTGAACTTCTGCTTTCACCTGTGAATTGTGAGCACTGAAAGTACAAATGTAGGCCACCACTCAGCATTCCTTTTGGTTGTTAAATTTAATTTGAAGTTAAACAGAGTCAAGCCTCATAATATACAGGGTTGATGGAGCCTGGCATAGGTAGTCAAGACCAGCCTGGGATACTTGAGACCTTTCTTGTCTTTAAAAGAAAAAGTGATAATTGATCCTTCTATGTTTTTCTCAGTTCCAGGGCAGGTTTTTTTTTTTTTTTTTTAAGGTCTCACTATGTAACCCTTAGCCCTTGCTGGCCTGGAAAATGAGAGTAGGATGAGAATCTGACTCAGATCCACCTGCCTTCCAAATATTTATTTTGAGACAGGTTTCTCTGTAGCCCTGGCTGGCCTGCCACTCCGTCTGTAGACCAGACCCACAAGCTCAGAACCACTTACACACTGCAAAAGTGCTGGTATTAAAGACATATGTTAGCGCACCTGGCCTGGCCTGAGACTTAACATGTAGGCCGACCTCATTCAGTTTGCCTGCCTGTTGGCTTCTTAAGAATTTGTTGGTTTGTTTCCCAGGGATTATGAGTGAAAAGAATAGGATGAGAGGCAGAATGCGTTCTTTTAGAGTAGTCCTAGTTTTTTTAGTTTATTTTTTAATTTTTGTTTTAAATAGAGGTTATATGTGCTAGGCTTGAATCTGTAACATTGTGCATGCTAGAGAAATAGTCAATATTGTTAACACATTTCCAAGCCTGTTTTTTTTTTTAACTTAAATTTTCTTAGGAATTGTTTTTAACTGTAGACTGCTTAAATAAATTAACATTTTGTTTGGTTTTTTTTTTATTATTACAGAAATGCATCGTGATTCCTGTCCCTTGGACTGTAAGGTTTATGTAGGTAATCTTGGAAACAATGGGAACAAGACTGAATTAGAAAGGGCTTTTGGCTATTATGGACCACTACGAAGTGTGTGGGTTGCTCGAAACCCTCCTGGCTTTGCTTTCGTTGAATTTGAGGATCCCCGTGATGCTGCTGACGCTGTCCGAGAGCTGGATGGAAGGTAATGTGGATGCAGACGGTTAGCCTGGTTTCAGTGTTCTAGGACCATGGCTTTTTGGTGTTTTAGGTCTATGCAGTAATAATTGCTTTTGGTCATTTACACAATGGCTGTGTACTGGAGCCCTGCTAGCTGACTGCCTATATCGTGCCATCACATTGGCTGTTTTTAGCCAGATGTGGACTTGTACCTGAAGTCCCAGCACATGGAATTAGGGACGAGTTCAGGATGCCTTGCTTACATAGCAAGTTAAAGGCAAGAATAATCTCGAGGCCACAGTACCTTAAGTGAAAAGAGACCGACAGTAGCTCTGAAGCTGTAGGATAGGCCATTTGTTCCTACAAGTTATAATAATGAAAGTTTGCTGGGGTCCATCTCATCAGTGGCCCAAATATGCCAGTTTAACTCACTGCTGTGGCTCTGGACAAATGAAGACAGGATAATCAACCCTACCCGGATGTGACTAGGTGGAGTTTCTTGTATTGGAAGGGGGTTGATATAAGGGAGCCAAAGTAATTAGCGTGCCTTAAAATCCTTAGAGAAGTGTATGGAAAAGTGAGAAATTCAAGGGAACAAGTCGTGGTAGGAATACATGAAAAGTACTTGAGTTATAGCTACTAACAGTTAACATTGAGCTCAGTAATCAAGAGTGGTTCAGGGAACCTCAGTAAGTAGTTAGAGCAGAGGACCTCGTCTAGTTTCCAGCATCCACATGGTGATTCACAGCCATTTGTAACACCAGTTCCACGGTGTCTTGATGTCTTCTGATTTCCTCAGGCACATATATGGTGCCTGGCCTTTGTATGCAAGCAAAAAACATCTCTACACAGGTTCTTTTCCTCCCTTAATGGAGACTGGGTCTCATGTCAAAGTTTAACTTAAAGAAGAAAAAAAAACTTACAGCCAGGTGGTGACACATACCTTTAATCGCAGCACTTGAGACAGAGACAGGTGGATCTCTTCAGTTTAATGCTAGCCTGGTTTATAGAATGTATTGCAAGACAGCCAGGGCTACACAGAAACCCATTTGGAAAAACAACAAAAATGTGTTTATGTGTGTGTTTTGTGCCTGTATGTCTGTACTGTATGTATTCCATACAGAAGGTGTTTGATTCCCTGGAACTAGAAGTGTATAGGTGGTTGTGAGCCACCATGTGGGTACTGGGAATCAAACCTGGGTTGTCTGCAAGAATAGCCAGTGCTTTTAACTACTTAACTAACCTGTAGTCAGTAGCCTAGGACTGACTCCCTTGTGCTGGGATTAAAGGTATATGTCAATATATCTAGCTAGACTGATTCATATGTAGTGAATTTATTTATTGCTTTTAAAAAATCCCATTTGAGGTTTGGGTCTTTTAACCTCTGTGAAGTGTTTAGCAAATAGGCCTGGGCAACACTTGAGACTGTCAAAACTTAGGTTTCATTTGACATTGGGTGAAATAGGGAGAGAGCAGTACAGCCTTACTGCCATTGGCAATTATGTGACTAGTGTCCCTTCTCTTTAGAACACTATGTGGCTGCCGTGTAAGAGTGGAACTGTCGAATGGAGAAAAGAGAAGTCGGAATCGTGGCCCGCCTCCCTCTTGGGGTCGTCGTCCTCGAGATGATTACCGCAGGAGGAGTCCTCCACCTCGGCGCAGGTACTTGAGAGAGCACCTTTTAGAGAAAGGCATTGGTGTAATGCAGTAGCTAGTAGGAGCAGGTATTTCTTCCTAAGGTTGTTGGTGGGTTTTAACTTACTGTGGACATCGGAGGTTTCTACAAACCATTGGCTGGGTGTAGCTTGGGGTATGCGAGTTGTGCTGAGTGTTGGCTTTTGTCTGTAGGTGTATTATTCATGTTGGTAGTTAGTAACTTCTGTCTCGGATCTGTCTTCTAGTTCATCTTCTAGTTCATCTTTCCAAGTCTTCCCTTTTACTTCAGTTAGGCCTTTTTCCATTTCTTGACTCCATAATGATCAACATTACATTCAACTAGCTCTTCACAGATGTGTTTTCTACTAGCACAATTGTAATATTTATCAAAACAGGCAGCTGTTTTAATGTTACAACTGGTAAAGTAGAAATCTTTCTGAAACAAACTTAAATCACTGACCAATAAAGGGGGCTTAAAAGTATTCCCAGTCATCCGTTCTTGAATCCCAAATAGGAGAGAAGTCAGTTTTTTTATGATTGAAATGGCATCATTCTTGGACCAGGCAGTATTGCCTGGATACAAACTCCTCATCTCCTCAAATCAAGCCTCTAAAATAGTCTCTGTAGGACTGAATTTACCTCTTACAGGTGAGTGAAGTCCTAGGAGATAGGAGTTCAAAATCTTGCCCCTTTTGCTATTTTGAAAAACAACACACTGTTGCCCATCATAATAAAGAGTATTTGTTAGCTAATAGATGGTTGTACTGATGGCTTGTTTTTCATTTTTTTTTGTGCTTTTTGGTCCATCTATTAATAAAAATGAACCCCGTTACAGAGTCACCATCATGTCTCTTCTCACCACCCTCTGAATCTGCATTAGCCAGTCAACTAGCCCTTTCAGCGTCATGTGACCAGCGCGCCCCATTCAGCTTGGCTGGTGTCGTTTCACATGACCCAGGCTGGCCAGTCGTCAGGTTGCACCGCCCTTTGGTTCCCGAGCATGCTGTTTTCTCTCAGCCTTCTCTCCAACCTTAACCAAATCGGCAGCAGCCGCCTCGACCGCCCACACATTCCTGGCCAATCAGCTCAGCTGTTTATTTACCAAATGTCTTCACAACAACTACAGCAGCAGCCTTCGGCTAACAAAAAAGCAGGAAAAATCCACAACACCCCCTTCGCCAACCAACTAAATCCAACGCAACATCTGGCAAAACCTTTTCAGCAAATTCTTCCTGGCCGTCAGTCCGGCAGCCTCACCTCACCATTTCTAGCTTGTTGAAACCCAAAACTAGTAAGTTTTTCCTGCTTATACAGTTTACTGCTGGTTAAAAATAAGGAGTAAGCGGCTTAAAGTAATTCTTTTTTCTGGATCAAAGGCTGGCTGTGCATAATTGAATGGTAACGTACAATATATTGCTTGAAACAACTTTTAAGGGTGATAGGGAACTCATAATGTGACTAGACCTTCAAGTGAACTTATGTGCATGTGTGAGATGCCAAACTAAAATTTTAATATCTCTAACAGATTTTAGCTTTTCTTCCTAGCAAAATTTTGTTGAATCCTATCACCTTTAAATGGTTTTACTAACAGTTTTCAAATTTAAAAAAAAATTGGGGGTGAAGTGTGGGCCAAGCTACAGTAATTTTGATAAGCCTAAACACACTCTTAAATGTGACGTCACAAACGCAGTTGTAATGTAGCACTAAGTGGCATCGATGTTTACACCTAGCGCGTTCTCACGGAATTACACTATCCACCTGGTGCATAAGTCTTGTTAGAGACTTCAAGGTTTGCATGGGTTCCAAATACTGGTTTATGGTACTGTTTTTGGAACTACTTGTGGGACTACATTTTGGTGTGGTGTTTGGGGTAGTGGACTTAGCTTGACATGAAGTTTTGCATTGGACAGATCTGCTGTGAAGCATTCTTTGTTAAAATGAATCCATGGTTGGAATACCTGCTTTTCACTTGAGCTTTTTGTTCCTTAATCCTTCTGTGCCTTTTTTTTTCTTTTCTTTTTTTATTTTTGGAGGATGAGTGCCAGTTCTCCGGCACATTCACTGGGCCCAACAGTGAAATTGAAAAGTTGGGAAATGCCTCACGCCACATACAATAATTGGCAGTTAGCCTAATTTTACTGTTTGTGCTTTTAGATCCCCAAGAAGAAGAAGCTTTTCCCGAAGCCGAAGCAGGTAAATGTCTTGGTGCCCTGTTCTTAGAAATGGCAGCTTCTAATACCTTTGAGCTGTTTTTCAAAGTACTTGTTTAGTGAGATTTACATAACCCTGGCTAATCTAGTGACCTGGGTAGCATAGTCACAGTCAGCATTAAGTTAGAGTGAGCTAGCCTCTCTTCAAAGTGAATTTTTAATAAACCAATGTGCCTTCTGTTTGCTTTAGGTCACTCTCTAGAGATAGGAGAAGAGAAAGGTCTCTGTCTCGTGAGAGAAATCACAAGCCGTCTCGATCCTTCTCTAGGTCTCGTAGGTAAGATCAGTGACTGAACTATTGAAGATATGCAGATATGATCTTTTTGTACTATGTACTTAAGATAATGTTTGATTGTTTTGTTTTTTGTTTTTTTAGCCGATCAAGGTCAAATGAAAGGAAATAGAAGACCAATTTGCAAAAGTGGTGTACAGGAAATAACTTCATCTGACAGGAGTATGTACAGGAAATTAAAGTTTTGTTTGAGACTTCATAAGCTTGGTGCATTTTTAAGATGTTTTAGCTGTTCAAATTTGTTTTGTCTCTTGGAACAGTGACACAAACCGATGTAATTCTCTGTGGTTCCAAATGGATCATAGGAGGCATGTGATATCAAGAATTGTTACTTTACAATGTTCCCTTAAGCAAGATTGAATTTTCTTTGAATTTTAGTTTTTTATAGACTGAAATAAACCTAGATCCTGCCCAGTTTTAAGTGTGATGTACTAATGATACAGAAGCGACTGGCAGAAATTGAATAAAGCTATAGTCCTCGTAGCTGAGACAGTGTGGCACTGTGGGTGGAATGATAAGCAGTCTTTAGAAGCTGCTGTAAATACAAGCCAGCAGATAAAGGTAGGAACCACACGCTGAAGGTTTTCAAAGCGGTTCCTTCCTGGTTGCTATATGCGGATGCAGAGCTGTTGTAATGTCTTTACTTGGAAATGTAAAACTAAGATACCAGTGTCCTATCAGTTTAAGGGTACATTGTAGAGCTGAACTTTTCAGTTACTGTGCAAGATTTTTTTTTCATGCTGTCATTTGTAATATGTTTTTGTGAGAATCCTTGGGATTAAAGTTTTGGTTACAAATTGTTGTTTAACTTGAAAGCCTGTTTTTCCTTGCACACTCAAATCTGTGAGCTTGGTATCAAGTCCAGGTATAACATTCCTATTGGAAGCCATACTTATATTTTCTTGTAAAGTGCTTTTGAACTAATAAAATACTAGCATAATTGTGTAGTCAGTCAAGCGAACCCACTGTTGCCATTGTTCTTATCCCTGGGAAAGCGGTTGGTTGCCCAGTTCGATCTTTGTAAGTAACAACCAAGAGGCACTACATTAGGGAAGTTCTTCCCCCTTTGCTTGTCACCTTGTTAGCCATTTTTTAGGTGTTGAAAGTCAGTTCAGGATCATGGCAGTTAGTGACTAACATTTTAAAGTAAGCACCAGTGTGGTATATTGTAATTCTTTAAGTTGCCCATAAAAAATGTCTTTGATCTTCAGCATGAAAACATTCAACAAAAGTTTTAAAATTAATTTTTTATGACTTGAGGTGTTGCATGGGATTCCAAATTGATCCATCATGATGTAAAATACACAAAATGGTTCATTGTAACGATGCACAGTTGAATATGGAGGCATGCATACCCTTTCTCTTAGAAATATGGAGGAGTTGTGGTTTCAGGGTTTTTGTGTGTGTGCAATTAGATTAAATCATAATGCAACAGTCTTGTGGCTTAAGTTTCCTTAAATGTGTTCTTTTGAGATAGTTTTTGGATTCTACTGTACTGACTTTGTCTCTGTAAGATGCCATTGCACTAAATTCAATCTGTAAGCTTATAAATTCCCCCTCCCCGAATTGTTATCTTTAAACAATAAATTTCAGTAAGAAAGGAGAGAATTGTGTCCAGAAGGTTCCACCGTGAGCCTTTGAAAGAAGTACCCATCTTCAAGGAGATGCTTTTCAATTCAAAGTCTCTGTTAATGTGTTAGGAGTCCACTTTGTCCTTCATGGTAGGATTGAGGTTAAGCCTACTTGTAATTGTAGGTCACATTAGCTATTAGTTTTCAGCGTATACTACTAAAAGGGTGGCTACAGGTGCTTGCCAGGGGTCATTATTAGTACTTAGTGATGACTAAGAAAGGCACTTGAGAATTAGGATTCTCGTTCATTGCGAGTTACCTCAGACAGATGTACATTGAACACGATGTAGGTGCCCTTCATTTACTTGCCATCGTGGTACCTAAGTGTCATGGATGGATGGATGGCATCTCCACCCTGCACTGGACTGCAGGCACTGAAGACTGAGGATGAATGGGAGATCTTAGTAGTTTTCTTTAGATCTCTGCCTCACTTTGGCATGCTACTGCTTAATTGGAAAGAATGTTGGTTATGGAAGTCAGAAGAGACTGAGTATAGCCAGACTCTACACCTGTTAACAGTGAAGAGTATAGGTGATAAACAGCCATAGTCTTTGGGTCACTGGTTTAGTGCCTTGTCTTAAATGTACTTTTGCTTTTCTGAGATGGGATTTAGTTATCAGACAAGTTATCTCTTCCAGTATATATTTTTGTACTTCCAGACTGTTGCCTTCTGGTTTTCTTATGGATGAGGGACATAAAACAGCTTTATTATTAAAGACACTGACTTAAGGCTGGGCTGGAGTATATTTTTATCTAAACAATCCGGTAATATACATTTCCTACACGGGCTGAAGTCCTGAGGGGTCCTGAAGCATGCAGTGGTAGTCTTAGTGGAGCTTTGCGCATGTAGCCTTTCCCGCTCTGGGTTACAAATCCCTAGTGTTTAGATTTTCTGTTGTGTCCCCGGGTTTTCTTTTCAGAGCAAAATTAAGCCTTCCATAAAGCTATAGATAGTACGTTTTATTTTATAATTTAGGGGATGGGGATCCTACTGCCTACAGTGTTAGAATCTCCTTACGTGTTAAACTACCTTGGCAGCAAGGACCCAGCTGAGCTGTTAAGAGCTCTGCCACTGATGTCCTTGCTTCTGTAATCTGTTTATCTGGGGTCGTTTGCTAGTGCCTTATTTGACACACACACACACACCCTTCCTCTCCAACTTAAGTATTTATTGTACATGGCCCTCCATGTTGGTCCTTAAGAGCTGCACTTAGTTGTCAGAAAGCTTTCCCTAGGATGCACCTAGCCTGGCTGCATCCATCTACAGCACTGTATAAACTGTGCCTGCCATGAGTCTCCCTCAGCAGCCCTGGTGCGGGAGGACTAGAAAGGACACAGTTGAGGGCCAGAGTGAGGGCAAAGTGTTCTCAACAAGAATGGTAAGGTTTCTAAGTTGATTTCCAGAGGATCTGATCCCTTTGGGCCTATACCAGGTGTGAACAAGGAGTACACATACTTCTCAGGAAAGCAGTAAACGGTGAGTAGAACACAAAGTCC